TTAGCTCTGGTGTCTGTACCCGGACTGTCGTAGCTAACGTTAGCTCTGGCGTCTGTACCAGGACTGTTGTAGATAACGTTAGCTCTGGTGTCTGTGCCAGTGCTGTCGTAGCTAACGTTAGCTCTGGGGTCTGTACCAGGACTGTTGTAGATAACGTTAGCTCTGGTGTCTGTGCCAGGACTGTTGTAGCTAACGTCTGGTGTGAATGAAAATACCCCAAATGTCCAGGAGGTGGACGAGGCCGTAGAAGATGAATAGAGCTGCCTAGAACCTTTTTGCTCGGTTCCATATGTCTTTTAAAAAAAACACAACCTTCACAACAAAATATTAGCAGTGAGTGTTGGACCTGTACTTCAGCGGGCAGTAATCCTGTCCTTCAGAGTTGTTCTTTTGACGTTTCTCATAAAAGATATCGATCCTCGTTCCATCAGTCCTGGTTCTTGAAAGACTCCTGACTCTGGAGCCGTTTCTTTGCTCCGTTCTCATGGAGATAGAGAAATGTTCCGTCTTTTACCTCAGGAATATTTTTCTACTAAATACACTGACCTTTCTGGCTGGTACTTTTACTGTAGTATTTTGCGGACCTTTTTTTTTTCAAGTACTACTTTTATATAATGGTTTTTTTTTTCTCTCACATTGAAAATGTTCTATAAAACTTGAATCTAATTCGCTGATCTTTTTTTTTCTAAATGCTGATCTTTTAGCTTTTAGTCTTAGCTGACGTTCAGTTACATGTGTCTTTTTACGAGTTTTTTTTCTTCGATTTTTCACATTTTCTCGTGTCTGATGTTGAGATTTCAGCATCAAAGTTTTCACTTTAATGTCGTCCATTAAAGTGAAAACTTTGATGCTGAAATCTCTTTGCGTTTTTTTTTTATTATTTTTATTTTTTTTATTAATTTGACTAACGACCGTAGGGTCAGAAATGGTGAAATTAAAGTTAAACTGAGTTTGAAAAATTCATAAACACTGAGTGTATGGATGGAAAATACCCTGAAAATATCAATCTTAGAGTGGGGGGGGCAGGGGGGGGGGGTGGTTTCAGAGGTAAGGTG